GGGCCACTTTCTATGTACCATTTGCTATGTCAAAAACTTTTATATGGAGAGATCCTAAAATTATCTCCTTTTTATAGATAAGGAAACTGAGGCTTATAAAGGCTAAGCAACTTGATCAGGGTTACAGAGTTAGGGAGAGGCAGAACCTGGATATTTGAACTCAAGTTGCCATTTCCCTACCAAGAGTCATTCATTCTGCCACCAAATTTCTAAGTATCAACATTTGGAGGCCAGCAATTCTACTTTGGCCCTAAACCACAGTTTGAAGATGTTGATGACAGCAAAGGTATCAGATTGTGCTTTTACTTAAAAAAAATCCAATAGTAATTACTCTTCAGTGTATAAAATAAAGTACTACAAAAACATGTCAATCATAAAATGAAGATACAGTGCATGCAAGGCAACCATATATGGGTTACTCAAGAAGTTTGGTCCTCCCTTCTTTTTTGTCTACCTAATGTCTCTCTTAAAGAATAAATACCTTCACATTGTGGTCAGATATAACAGAGTTCACTTTGTATTAAATGTAATCTGGCATTTAATTTTTAAGATAATTTAACATTTGTATCACTTAGAACTTATAAAATACGACATTGCATTCAATTTTCCTATATTTTCACTTGTATGTGATGATATTATTCATGCCAGACTGTTTTTGTAAAGCCAAAGTTAGAACTGTAAAGAAAATGTTTTCTTAGAATACAGTAACACAAAACATTTTAGTTCTACTGTTTTAAGTCTTTCAATGAAAATTATGCCATGCTAAATTTGATATTTGTTTCGTGTAAGCTAAATTTTTGCTTTCTGGGATCTTTTATGATCCCCTTGCCCCTGAGCTGTCTGGTGAACACTCTGCATTCTTAGTGATTATGCCCTGGGGGAGAATCAACAAAGCTGGAAATGACCACAAAGACCACTATAGAATCTGTCTAGGACACTGTAAGACGTGTTTGAACCATGACTAAACTCTGTGGTTATTAAGAGAAATGCCTTGAAAATAAGATTGGAACCTTTGGGTGGAGGGTAGCTGTGAATCTACTAGCCAGCAGGATGTAAAACACAGTAAAGCTTTTAGAAATATAAGGCCCAAATAAAGAGGGTCACTACATAGATAATTCTTGTTTACAAGAAATATACTGAGTACATTTTAATTCTCAACATTTTCTAGTTCTCCTTCTACCTCCTTCCTGCACAGATATTTTATGTTTATTCAACATTCTGTTAGACTTGTCTAGCTCTAGAAGAAGAAACAGTTTCAGTAATTTTTCCCAGCAAAAAGGTAATTGCACCCTCAGTCCCCTGAAAGTTTGTAGAAATCCTAAGAATCTTTTGCACAGGCTTCTTTGCTTACTTGCTGCCTTCTTAATAATCCCTTTTAGCTTCTGGAATTTCCAGATTCCTTCTTCTGTCCAGTGATACACCATATAAGGGTTCACGCGATCTGTACTGGGGTGACTTGCATTGGATTAGGAAACATCCTAACAAATGTTTCATATTTATACTTTATTTCTTGAACAGAAGTGAATTTTGTTTTATCTTCACTTATACTCGAAATCTTCATTCCCCGTGACCCTTTCTAAAACAATGGCTTTTTCAACTTTTATTCCAGTAATTGTCCTGACAGAACCATCAACATAAGCCAAATTATTTGTTTATTGTAACCTTGACCATTGTTCACAATTGCCAAATAACTTAGTATTAAAGTCAGTACCATTCATGTTTCTGTTTTGCATTAACTATTACCATATTCGCTGTTAGATCTTTCTCATTGTAGCTCACAATGTTAGGAGTTGCTTCATTTTTGAGGTTTGCTTGTCATCGATGCTACCTTGGCTTCTTACCTAGTGCCTGGTCTTCTCATTTGCCTTGTTTTGTGATACCAGTACATATATTCTTTGACCTTCAGCTTGTTTTCTTGAATAACAAAGGTTGAATAGACCTTGTCTGTTCACATCACACTGTGGTTACATATTCTAGCAGATGTAATATGCAAATGCCAAGAACCATGCAAATCACAGTTGTAGTGATAATTATAGTTATCACTATTAGGTTTAAAGGTAAACACACATGAAATCAAAACTTTCCCCAGAACTTATATAGTGGTTAAGTAAATGGTGGACTCTGACAGAGAATGGGTTTTCTGCCTAACTTTTCTCATCTATAAAATAATGATCTAAGTGGTACCTACCTCATTGGTTGGTTGTAAAGATAAAACGAGATATCATCATAACCTACACCTAGCATATCAGCTGCTATTGCTGTTCCCCTAAAGCTGTTTAATGAAACATGTATCATGTAAATGAATATTAACTTCACACATTAAGTGGTCATTATGATTCCTTGAACCTTGAAAAATCATATGGAAATGCCTATATAATAGCAGCTTAGTATTTAAGATTAAGCATTGGGATTTTAATGTGAAAGTCACTGTTTCAGCTTAACTTTTTAAAGAAAGGGCTTGAGACAAGTTAAGTATTAAGCTTAGTAGTGCATAAAATTGTTCA